AAATACATATACATAAGTACATTTGTATTAAATGTACAGACTACTTTGCTGTAATCAAGTACATAACCACGAGAGATGTACAAACTCGCACAGTTTAACAATATATATATGTACAGAAAAATACATATACATAAGTACATGTGTATTAAATGTACAGACTACTTTGCTGTAATCAAGTACATAACCACGAGAGATGTACAAACTCGCACAGTTTAACAATATATATAAACAGAAAAATACATATACATAAGTACATGTGTATTAAATGTACAGACTACTTTGCTGTAATCAAGTACATAACCACGAGAGATGTACAAACTCGCACAGTTTAACAATATATATATATACAGAAAAATACATATACATAAGTACATGTGTATGAAATGTACAGACTACTTTGCTGTAATCAAGTACATAACCACGAGAGATGTACAAACTCGCACAGTTTAACAATATATATATATATACCGAAAAATACATATACATAAGTACATGTGTATTAAATGTACAGACTACTTTGCTGTAATCAAGTACATAACTACGAGAGATGTACAAACTCGCACAGTTTAACAATATATATATATATACCGAAAAATACATATACATAAGTACATGTGTATGAAATGTACAGACTACTTTGCTGTAATCAAGTACATAACCACGAGAGATGTACAAACTCGCACAGTTTAACAATATATATATATATACCGAAAAATACATATACATAAGTACATGTGTATTAAATGTACAGACTACTTTGCTGTAATCAAGTACATAACCACGAGAGATGTACAAACTCGCACAGTTTAACAATATATATAAACAGAAAAATACATATGCATAAGTACATGTGTATGAAATGTACAGACTACTTTGCTGTAATCAAGTACATAACCACGAGAGATGTACAAACTCGCACAGTTTAACAATATATATATATATACAGAAAAATACATATACATAAGTACATGTGTATGAAATGTACAGACTACTTTGCTGTAATCAAGTACATAACCACGAGAGATGTACAAACTCGCACAGTTTAACAATATATATATATACAGAAAAATACATATACATAAGTACATGTGTATTAAATGTACAGACTACTTTGCTGTAATCAAGTACATAACCACGAGAGATGTACAAACTCGCACAGTTTAACAATATATATATATACAGAAAAATACATATACATAAGTACATGTGTATTAAATGTACAGACTACTTTGCTGTAATCAAGTACATAACCACGAGAGATGTACAAACTCGCACAGTTTAACAATATATATAAACAGAAAAATACATATACATAAGTACATGTGTATGAAATGGACAAGTTTATGCTAACATAATTATTGTACATAACCACAAGATGTAAAGGCTACATATACATTCATAGTAAAGAAAAATAAGCAGTTGTTAGTTTGATACTATGATACATGAAAATGGTTGTCGATCAGATTACAAAATGGCTTTATCTCTAAATCACTTCTTCTTTTATAAAATTAAACTAAACAAGAAAGTGTTATACTCATAAATGCTACAATGAGATAATCTTATCCGAATT